CCCATCGGTCGCGATCCACGAATACCAGCTCGTATTTTATGATAGCTTAGTTGGCCGGCTATGTTTGCGAGACAAGTGCCTCGAACGAGTGAGTTCTTTCTTCTGCCTTTCTCTTCTTCACACCACTCATCCGCCTCCTCCTCCAACCCTCCATCACCCCGTGTACCGCTCCGCAATCCCTAACCCCCACCACACCCGCGAAATCCACCAACACTACCAACAGTCCGACAATCGTCTCGCCAAGCAACCGCACCAATGCTACTTACTATATATAATAATACAGTCTAGCGCACATAGTTGTTCGCATTGCGGAGAATGGTAGGGGAGCGTTGGTCGTTGGTGGCTCTTTGCCGCATTCGATTATTTCGACTTTTGCTCTTAGTCACGTGAGCGGCTGTTAGTTTAATTTAATTTAACAAGTGCGCTTTAGCGATATTTGCGATAATAATGTGCGCTTAACCGCGGGGCTTCATTATTATTTGAAGGCTGCACAAGCAGCATTGCAAAATATGCTCCTAGCCGTACGTACGATTTCTTTCGATTAATAGCCAATCGCGCAATTGTCCCCAACTTTCGTCATGTAATAATCGATAACCGCGCTTAATAAAGCATTTTAATTTTCTTATCGTATATTTAATGGAAAATTGGGGCGTATATGAATTAACGTGCCTTCATTAACTCAACGTGCTTATTACTGCTTTCCATCTCCTGGCTTCGATACGTAACGATTATAAATTAGCCATTTAGTTTTGTGATCGATTAATTTTGATGAGACGACACGTTCGTGTCCGCTCTCGTCTACGTAATCTCGTAGGCGTGAAAATTCTATGAGCTCCCGTGTCCCTCGTTATTTATTAATATTTTGTTTCTTCCCTCTTTTGCCCCACTTTCGTCCGACGCTATGTTATATATTGCCGGAACTTTAATCATTTCTTCTCGTTAACATTATTTATTCATTTTAATATCCTATGAAATTTCACTAGTCGGTAATTCGGCAAACTACATAAGGCTTTTTCAACATTATTTACAAATAACACGATATTACGTCTTTCGATCCTTAATATATTATAAATAAAATAAAAAATTATTATTATTATTATTATTATGCAGCATGCGAGGAAATACTTTCGTTAAACTTAGAAATGCAGTGGTGTATTGGATTGAATAGGCGATTGTACGTACAAGAAACTAGAAGAATTTTGTTAACATAAATATCTTAAATACTTTATCGATATTTCACAATAAATTTCAAAGCAAATACTTCAAGTTCGCGCTTATGTCGTTTTATGTCACTGGCGGGCAAATAAAAAGAGGAAAAATTCTTGAAAACGTCCACTTAGTTAAAACCTATTTAACAATGCGCACTTTGAAACAATTTAATTGGAAATCGATAAATGCAATACATACGGGAACTGTAAAACTAGCGAAAAAAGCCTCTATTTCCATTTAACGCGTCCGGTAAAGTCGCTTGTAAATTATAAGATTTATTTAACACCTTTTAAAAAAATATGAGGAGGAGAAGAAGGAGGAGGAATCACCGGATAAAATATGCAAAACGATAAATTAATAAAGCTGGGAATTACGTAAAATAAGAGAATAAGAAGAGCACAAATTTATTTTCATGCGCAGTCTCTCCATTTTCGACTCTCTTTATCTCACTCTCACTCACTCACTCACTCACTCTCCCTCTCTTTTTCTTAACGATTCAACCTCCGAACTTTTATTCACGTAAAAGGAATATTAAAAAAAGTCTATTAAAAAAGGGAAATAAATAAATGAGTACATAAATAAATAAGTAAGTAAATAAGTAAATAAATAAGTAAATAAATAAGTAAATCAATATGTAAATAAATAAGTAAATAAATAAGTAATTAAATAAGTAAATAAATAAGTAAATAAATGATGAAATAAAAGTAGAGGAAAGAAATAATAATTGCAGCGATAAACGAAATACGAACGACGCGAGTAGATGGAATGAATAATGATGAATGGCCGAATGAACGAAACGGGGGGAAACGCTTAAAGTGTAGTGTTAGCAACGTAAGCGCGAAAGCCTACACAACCGAAGCCTAGCCTAAATTCCGTAAGCGAGCCAGCTATTTTCTCCTGGTCGCCTGGTAGAACTGTCAGGCAGACTCATTTTTTCTCGGCTCGACGAAAATTATTGGTCTACGCTAATTGACGTCCTTAGCAATCGTCACGTCGTGCCGTAGTATCCTCACTCTGCACCTCCTTGCAGCTATTGTACACGTAAAAGCGATTAGCTCCCTACCACCACTACCCAACCACTCTTTTTTATCCTCGTATCGTTCAAGTCCTCCGACGCACGATTAGACGCGACTCCCGCGTAATTTTCATGTCCCTCTCCCTCCCCCTACCGCCACTCACGAAAGCCATTATCTCTCTCTCTCTCTCTCTCGTCTCTCTCTCTTCTCTCTCTCTCTCTCTCGTCTCTCTCTCTCTCTCTCTCGTACCGACGCTCGCGAATCAATAATGCCGTTCGTCCATCTCGTGCCCGATATATACGGCTAATTAGTGCGGCGACGGCGACGGAATGCGGGCGTATCGAGGAAGGTGTGGCCTCGTTTTGCCTTGTAAAAGAAGCAAGGACTCGGACGTCTGGCTGGCTGGTTGGAGCGATGTGGCGGCAGCAGCATGTCTTAGGGGTAACCGGTTTTTAGTAGACGTTGCGGGTTCTAGTCGCCTAGTATAAAAATAGCCAGATTATCGATTTTTTCCGATCGAAATCTTTCGAGGGCCCACGGCTACTCGTGCCTTCGAACCTCCGGGCCCGCTATGATGGCCTGATCGATGTCGCCTCTCGATTTGCATGCCGAGATTTCGAGCGCAGCATCCCGAACGCTCTCTCTCTCCCCATCATACCGTCCCTTTACGGCTTTATTTATCGTTAGAATGTCATCTATCATGTCGATCCATCAATTCGCTCCGGGCTACCTCTAAGCGCTCCACGCCAAACATTTATTCATTTTCTATCCCTAATTACCGGCTTAGCATCATCGCAAACCTTTCTAAGGGACATTATCTCATACATCCCAGCATCTAATTAGTCGCTGGAGTCTGTCTCTAGCGAGCGTACTGAATGGGAACATACTGAAGTTACGAGGGCGAGGAAGCAGCGAGTGTCCCGCCAAATCCATGCCGAGTGGAAGGCCGCGTGTATAACGTCTTCTGGAAAAGGGCCGAGTTTCACGCGCCGGCAACAAGGCTAAAACGGGATAAAAAGAATGATAACGAACGCAAAAAGGGTTGATCGCGGAGCGTGTGGCGCAATCGTCATGATCGCCTGGTCTTAAAACCAAGGGATTTTCGACCTTACGAAGGGAAAGGGCTCGCGGACTACGGCCCGAGGTGTACTCGCGATATCGAGTGGGGTAGGAGAGGAGAATGAGAAGTCCCTTTCTTTCCTCCTCTTTCTCGGCTTCGTTAACGTTCTTAGCGGTGGGCACCGAGAGTAGGCGAGTGACCAATGGTCAGTCGAGCGCCACCGTCGAGGGGAACGAGCCGTGCGGCCTCTCGTTGCTCATGTTTGCCTGGTGCTTGGTCAAAGGAAAACATCCGTCAAACAAAGAATCGACAAAAACGTTGATCAACCTTTCTTTCCTTGGCCGAGGACTCGTTCGACCAGTTTTGGACCCCCCTCCCCCCCCCTCCCGCTTCGCAGCGTCAGTGCGACCCTGCTGCCGTTGTCATTAGCTTAGCTCTCGTGCCCCGGTATCGCCAAGACACAACACCACACACACACACACACACACACACACACACAACACACGCGATCGCCGTTTCTTCGATCTTTACGGGTTTAGGGAGGCCTTCGCCACTATCGACCTATGTATGGCCCTTCCCTTTTTTTTTCACCCTCATTTTTTTGTTCCCACCTCGCCCCTCGCCCCATCCCCCATTGCGTAATTATGACCGTTATTACTGTCCGCGTTCTTTTACTCGCGATTTATGCCCCCCCCCCCCCCCCCCTTT